GAAAAGCAGGTGGTGGGGGAAGGGAGGGAAATCAGACTGGCAGTCCTCTGCTTTCCAAGTCACGTGAGATATGTTTCCATGTTTCCTTTCAAACCACCTTTTCCTTGAGCTTCTGGTTCTGTCAGAATTACGGTTACCACTGTCAGCAAGAAAATATGAAAGAGATGTACCCAGCATATTGGCAGACTCTTATCTAAAGTGTCTCTTCAACACGTTAGTGTGTGAGACAGAGCTTTGCACAAGTCTTACTACCTCTTCAAAATGACTCAAACACATTTTATGCATAAACGGACATGTTAGTTGAAAATATTCTTGTACAACCATTTGAAAATAGCAATTTAAACAAACGAATTAGAGGGCTGGGCATGCAGCTTCCTGCTGTACTGACGAGCGTGTAGAGGGCCCTAGGTTTGATTCCAAGGCATCACAAGTGAAAAAGAAAAAGGAAAAGGATTTATTTTTTCCAAAGATGGAGGAATTATTGGCTTAGAAATCTCCTAGGACCATAGTTCGTAAAACTGCCTATCTACCAGTATTGGTTTCATGGTTTCGAATATAATACGGATGTTCAAGTCTCACCTTAGACTTCCTAAATCACATCTTTTACATACATACCTTGTGCAGTTCTCGAGAATTTTTGGAAGAGCTCTGAGGCTGATTCTGATCTGAGAGCAAGTTCAAGGGCTACATTTGTATAATGAAGAGTGAGTTTCACAGCTAGTCAACGCTAACATTAACACTTTGTGATCTTATTTTATTGTTGCATCATTTGATAAATGAGCAGCAAAAACTGCAAACACTTCAATTCAATTGAAGCTGTATCATGAGCCTTCGATCTGGATTTTTATTAGAAATCTCAACTACGCAGACTGTGCTTAAGAGGATATTATTTAAGACTTGTGAAAGAATGAAGTTAGACCTTTGCTTTTATGTCTTCTATAAAACTTAACTCAAAATGGATCAAAGCCTTAAATGTAAATTTTGAAACTGTGAAGTCTTAGAAGAACAGCTAAGGAGAGCTTCAACACCTTAGACTAGATTAGGATTTCCTGGGCAGGATTAAAAAAAAAAAAAGCTCAGGCAATAAAAGTAAAAAAAATGTACAAAGTAGACCACGCCAAAATTTATCATTGGGCATCAAAGACACATTCAACAGAATTAAAAAAACAACATATGGGATAAAAGAAAATATTTGCCAACTGTATATCTGATAAAAAGAATAGCATTCAGAATATACAAATAACTCTCGCAACCCAGCAACATAAAACCAAATAACTGTATTTGTAAATGGACAGAGACCCCAAAGATTGCAAAGGAATGGCTAAAATGCTTATGTAAAGATATTCAAAACCGCTCCTCACTGGGCAAATGCAAATAAAGACTTTCATGAAATATTATCAATTAGGATGGTTATTGTTTTTTTTTCTTTTTAAGTGAGCAAAGGATGTGGAGGGATGGAAACCTTTGTGTACCATGGACAATATCAAATGGCGCCATTATTAAACTCAGACACATGGTTGCTCATTTTTTTGAAAGAAAATTTAGATTAGCCAGCGATTAAACAATCTTACCCTGAGTATGCAAAAGAATGGAAAGGATTTTTCAGAGAAACTCACAAAACTGTGTTCACAGAAGCAGTATTCCCCCAAGCCCATATGCTGGGCCAGCCCATCAATAGATAGTGATGAGCTTTGGGAAATATGCTTAAATGAACACTTCGTCAACAAGAGACAAATACTTATGATCTCCCTTAGACGAGGAATCGCGTAACCAAACCCATGTGAATGGAAGGAGCTGAGGGGAAGAACTGTGGAGTTAATTGTTTTAAAAGGTATAAAGTGCCAGCTTTGCAAACTAAAAAAGTGTGGAGCTTAGCTGTATAATAATACAAGTATGATTAACACTACTAAATTGTATACTTCGGAATGGTTACAGTCGTACATTTTTACATCATTTAATGTTTAACTTTGCTAAATTGGACATCTAAAATGGTTAGGATCATATATTTTACATATTTTACTCTACTAAATTGTATACTTAGAAGTGGTTCCAATCATGCATTTTATGTTGTGTGTGTGTTTTAAAATCACAATTTCTTAAAGAAAATATTATGTGTTTTAAAAATGCATGTAATTTAAGAAATCCGCTAGAAAAGCCAATTTTTGCTAAATGAGTTTCCTCCTACTGTCCCTTAGTAGATTTCATCTAAGTAAATAATCTACAAAATAAAGAAAAATGTTTGAAAAAGCATAGTGCATAGGGAATCATAGTTTTATGATATTCAGAATACTTGATATGTAAATACCTATATGAATGCACTGTTCTTATTGTGAAAATAAAATCAGTACCCTAGTTTGCCCTTAGTAAGTGCACCATATACAAGATAAATTGAGAATCTATTTAGTGTTTTATATTTCAAATACAATCTTTCATTTTTACTGTGGGTGAGAGTAGCCATTAACCCTATATTTTGCTCTGCTTGAAGAAACACGTTTGTGACCATTTCCCCCCTTCCTTCCTCCCTCCCTTCCTCCCTCCCTTCTCCCTCCTTTCCTTCCTTCCTCCCTCCCTTCCTCCCTCCCTTCTCCCTCCTTTCCTTCCTTCCTTCCTTCCTTCCTTCCTTCCTTCCTTCCTTCCTTCCTTCCTTCCTTCCTTCCTTCTGTCCTTCCATCCTTCCTTCTATCCTTCCATCCTTTCTTCTTTCCTTCCTTCCTTCCTTCCTTCCTTCTGTCCTTCCATCCTTCCTTCTGTCCTTCCATCCTCCCTCCCTCCCTCCCACCCTCCCTCCATCCCTCCCTCCGTCTCTCCCTCCCTCCTTCCCTCCTCCCTCCCTTCCTCAATCCTTCCTTCCTTCCTTCCTTCCTTCCTTCCTTCCTTCCTTCCTTCCTTCCTTCCTTCCTTCCTTCCTTCCTTCCTTCCTTCCTTCCATCAGTCTCGGGGCCTGGGCACTGTCCCTGAGCTCTTTTGCTCAGGGCCAACATTCTCTCACTTTGAGCCACAGCATCACTTCTGGTGTTTTGGTGTTTAATTGGAGCTAAGAGTCTCATGAACTTTCTTGTCTGAGCTGGCTTTGAACCATGGTCCTCAGATCGTAACCTCCTGGGTGCTACAATTATAGCTATGAGCTTCCAGCACCAGCCTGTTACCATGCCCTCTTTGGGGAGGTAAATACAGGCTTTGTAAAGCCAGCGTAAGAAATACCCACTTCATGTTTAGAAGGGAAAGTTCATTCTAAAAAATCTATGGCATAAAGTTTGGCAACTGAGTGAAATACCCACCAATAAGCAGATTGTGTCTGGGCTGAGAGAGCAAATGCTTTGCCCCTTTCCTTCTCACACTAGCCGATGTTCCATTTACCCATCGAAATTCTACTTTGCTTCAGGCTAGAAATGCAAGGCTCACTGGTCAATGAAGGCTTCAGCCTGTATGGCTGAAAACAGCCTAGTACACAGAGCATGGAGTCCCATCCCCTGAACTTTTCTTAGCCAAAGTTTGTAACTCCACCAACTTCTTTGGTCTTGAGTAAATAGTAAGTTCTGAATTTAACTTCTGTAAAAATTAGATTCGTTTAGTGCTTACAGAAGCAAAACCATGGAAAACACTCATGCAATGTGATAACGTGAAGCTGTTTGTACTTTTAAAACTTGGTGTGGTAATGGAGACAGACACTATGCCATTTATGGAGTGTTTGCTTGCATTCTTTAACCCATTCTAGTTTACTACCACTGTCGTATAGAGAGGGGCTTTATCATTTAATGGGAGGGAAATAAATGTTCTAAGAGCATATCAGTTACCCCTAAGCAACTCATTTCATACGAATAAGGGTTCAAAGAGAAAAATGATTCTCTTGACTCCAAATATATTTTTGCCTTAATTTTTCTAGGCATTGTGTCTCCTCCTCCTACTTTTTTTTGGTGCTTATCCTAGGGCTTGAATTTATGGACTAGACACTGTCCCTGAGCTTTATTGCTCAAGGCTAGAGCTCTACCACTTGAGCTACAGCCCCACTTCCATAGTTTTTGGTAGTTAATTAGGGATAAGAGTCTCCTGGACTTTCTTGCCTACGTTGGCTTTGAACCATGATCCTCAAATCTCAGCCTCCTGAGTAGCTAGGATTACAGGTATGAGCCACAGGCATCTACTTTCTCCTACTTTTGCTATCTCAGTTGAGTAGCAGGAAAAGGCTCTGTGAAATATATTCCACATTTGCTACATTTGTGGAAGATAAATCCTAAGCTCAGTCTCTCGAGATGTGTTTAATACGTGTTGAGGAGACATCTGACATATTGGAAGAGAAAATATTATATTTAAAATTCTCTGCTTTGGCAGGCTAAATTTCAGCTCATTTAAACATTCATTATTTCAGCCAACAAAGTAACAGACTAATCTTATAATCTTGAGAAGGCATTGGAAGCCTTTTTTAACTTAAGCTATAATAATCTTTCCTTAGCATTGTTTTATTTTAACCAAATGCTCACTAAAAGAAGACGAAATATTTTATACTAATGAGGCTGAGCACATCGGCACTAGAATTCTAGAGCCTGAAAATGGGAAGGCACTTGAAGAGCTATTATTTATTTTTTTTCATTGTACCTAGGGAATAAATTAACCATAAAATATTCTATTCACTTCTAAAATATCTCGGAAAATGAAATGTATGCTTTCAATAATGCATTCCAGGCTGTGGTGTTGGCTCACTTAAGAACTGGGTGCAGTTTCTAATTGGGTAGAAATGATCAACATACTCCTGCAAAATACTTCAGAGGCCAAGGACCAGCCCCCCATCAGGCCCTGAATCGGATGACACCTTGATCTTGAGCGATGAGCAATTATCTCTTCTACAGGCCATGCTATTGTAAGTCCTAATAGGTGAGGCACTGCCATATTAGTTTCCATGTGGTTTTCCAAATGGAACTGTGATGACCATACAATGGGCAGATAAGAAAGGGCGTCTCCACACGCTTATGAGAGAACCCAAGCAAAGGGGAAACAGGCCTTACCTGAAATGGGTTAAATGTCTCTGGATGTCGAGGTCGAGAATGGGAGTAGGTCTGGAAGATCCTAGTGGTGACCGGTCTTGACTCAGGAGGTCTTGGAATTCTTTACAAATTTGTCTAAAAGGAAACATAGGAAATAATTGAAACTCTTGAAACTGGATTTTTCCCTTTTTCTGTTTGTCAATTGCCATTGCAAAGGTGATATACAGAAGGGTCACAGGTACATAAGTAAGTCAGGTCGTGAGGACATTTCTTTTTGGACAGTGTCACCTCCTCCCTCGCTTTCTCCAAGTTTTCCTCTGCCGACCCCCGTATGATTCATTTTCCACATAGTGTGTAATGAGTATCACCACTGCATTCCTTCACCCTTTAACCCCCCCTCCTCAAAAGAGAGAAACTTACACATAAGACCAAAGATACAGAAAACAAAGCAATAACAAAAAACAAAATAAGGAAAAAAATCCCTTGGAGTTCATTTTGATGAACGTTATTTCGCATGATCATATGTGCATAGCTGTTGAGTCATGGAATGATACTTTACTAGTGATTTTTATGTCTTTGAAAAAAATCTCTGAAGTTCCACCTACAGTATAGAGTTCAGGTTCACCGTGGTGATTCTGAGATTAAGGACCATAAAGAGATTTGAGGCAAATAACAATCCTTAGGCACTGAGAAGGTCAAAGTTCATCTTTTCAAGTGAATATTCATAGGTTAATCTTAGGTTAAAAAAATCAGTGACAAAGGATTATAATTCATAAGTGCTCTTTAGAAAAATTAAAATGTGACTTTAGGACTATCGGATCTGTAAATGAATTTCACTGAAGTTACAGGCTTATATCATTCAGACCTGCAACCTAAGTTGATGTTAGAAAAAAATTTTCCCCCCAAATATTGTATTATTTTACAGACTCTCATGGACTAATTTCATGCTTAATGTTTTAAGCAAGTAAACTCTTACCCAAAGATTAGTTATTGGTCTCACACAAACTGTAATATTATATTTCATTCAAGCTGGTAGCTTCCAAAAAAAATGCTCTGTAGGACATTTTTTTCTGCTGTTTTTCTTGCCTTACATGATTCTGAATTCTGCTCATTAGTCAAGAGCTTGGCTGTGTATGCTGAATAACAATAATCTGAATGATGAAATTCTAAAGAAAGAATATATGGAGAAGGCAACGACAATAATACGCAATACAAGATGGTGCTAGGGCCTCATTCCTGTAATCCTAAACCATTCAAGAGGCCGAGATCTGAGCATTGCAGGAAAGTCCGTGAGACCATCCCCAGTTATCTACCAAAGAAGCCAGAAGTGGAGCTGTGGCTCAAGTGGTAGAGCGCTAGCCTTGAGCACAAAAGCCCAGGAACAGCACCCAAGCCCTGAGTTCAAATACGAACAAATGACAACAAAAACCCCAAATCCAATTAATGCAGCGAGTAATGCTGCCCCTAAAGAGTGAACTCAAGAACTATCATAGATGTCACGAATGACTCAAAACCAACCCGCATATGGACAGGAAGGAACCAGATGCAAGACTTTTCTCTCACTCTATACAAAAAAAAATCAGATAAAATGAACCAAAGACCTTCGTCTAAGACTTCAAACTTTGATATTTGCACGGGAAAGCACAGGGCAAACACTTTAAACTACAGGCATAGACATAAAGAGCAACTATATACAAGAAATACAGTCAAGGCGCATTAATTACATTTAAATAATTAAGTGCAACTTTACCTAGGTATTTTTTGCTGTTTCCTGGAGACAGTAGTATCATTTAGGCTATTATTTGTTATTTAAGAGAGATACATTGCTATTTTGGCTTCTAAAAATTTAACTAGAGCTTCATGAAATCATTTTTTTTCTGACTAATAGCTCAACATTATTTCCATGTTCTCTCTTTCTCTCCTTCACACACACACACACACACACACACACACACACACACACACACACACAAACACACACACACACACACAAACACACACACACACACACACACACGAACACACACACAGAGCCTCCAATTGTCTGAAGACTAGTTGTAAAACTTTCTCCCAGATTGAAATAAGTTTTCAGAATTTAAAGAGCAAAACATTGTTTTCGTTCTGGGGGTGTATGATACTAGGTAACTGAATAAAATAGCATGTAGGCTGACAAATCCACCTTTTTCCTATATCAAGTTATAATAAAATTGATGAGTAAGAAAAAGGCAAAGTAGGGGAAAGTCAACTTGTGCTACATAATCCAACAATACCACACATTAGAATTCATATCTTGGATATTTCATTCTACTGCCTACCTCACTGACATGACATAGTTTCTAGAACTGAATAAAGGTGATCGTTTCTTCATAGGCAATTATTGTCATTGACTCATTATTACAGCTCCAGTTATTATTTTTATGACTAGCTCGATTCTTAAAGTTTGGTTTCTGGAGCTATAGTGTGAGATATTCTTACATCTCAAAACAAAATGTCACACTATGAATTATATAACACACTAATCTTCGCTGAATCACACATTCTAACTTTATCATTTACGTCATTGTTCTTGAGCCTGTCTTTTTCGTTTGTAAAGTTGATTTCTGGATTTAAATTTCTGTCTTTCTCCTACTGGCAGTTAGGAGAAAGTTTAAATGTTCACTTTTCTGCCTTATCTTAACCTAAAACAAACACAGAAATGTAAAACATAATTCTAAATTTAATGAAGACGTTGTTATATGTTTTCTATTAGCCAAGTAGAAAGTAGTTTGTCTGGTATGTCTATAGAATTCCAAAAGGCATCTCAGTTTCTCATCTTACACCAAGATATTTGGTATGAAATGAAGAAGAATTATGAGACCAAAGACCCTTCATGGGCCTTTTATACAAGTGTAAACTGAATACAACAAACTTAAACAGAACAAAGTCTGTCCCTTGTCCAGGTGAAAAAGAAACCAATAGGCCACTTGATCCAAGACCACCAGCATCTTGGATCTTGGGTTCAACAAATTTGGTTTTAATATTATATATTTTGAATATGTATTTCAATATATATTATATATACATAATCCTCTCTCTCTCTTTCTCTCTCTCTCTCTCTCTATATATACATAGAGTATTATCTGGTTGAATTCACTACTTTCAAATGAATGTCTCATGACAACTTCAACAAATCTGGAAGTATTAATCTGGAAGGATTTCTCTTATTCTGTGGGAAGAACACCTCATTAACAGTTTGAATGCACTGAAAGACTCCCACGCTCTTGCACAGAATGATGGTGGTCTCCCGGGGACAGAAACCTGTGTGTGGAAGGCTGTGGAGGTTGAGGTAAAGTTACACAACTTCCTAAGGAAGTGGAGTCTGGGAGAGGGGGTCTCTTTGGAGCAGCGAATGTAACTCTTAGAATATGCATGAGGAAACCACACCCAGATCGTCTTCAGAAGGAGAATAATTGAAAGTGTTTTCTTCTCGGGTACTATGTGATGGGAGACAGCAGACCCACTGGGTCACCAGCAGCCACTCCAGCCCCCAGCCAGCTGACAGGCCCCCAGAACACCTGGAGACACCATCTGACCTCTGAAATGATAACGTTCTCAGAACCTGTGATAGGTTTGACCTTTCCTCTGAGGTGATGAAATCAGTTATACTTGGCAACTCTGTGTTTTCAGCTCTTTTCGGAGAAATGGCATCATAACCAATGAAGACCTTCTGAGTTAAGTAGCTATTTGTGCCAGGCTCTGTAATCCCAGCTACTCAGGAGGCTGAGGTCTGAGGATTACAGTTCAAAGTCAGCTACGGCAGCAAAGTCCATGGGACAGACTCTTATCTTCAAGTAATCACCAGAAGTGGATCTGTGGCTCAAGTGGTAGAATGTTAGACTAGAGTAAATATAAAAGCTCAGAGACAGTGCCTAGGCCCTGAGTCCAAACCCTCTATGGGGTGGGAAGTGGGAAAGGGGAGACAAGGAAAGCCAGGAAGAGTACAAACAAAATGGAAACAAAGACCAAAGGTCTAGATAGAGATCTTCCCACTAAAATGGTGTCAGATATATTGAACAAGGACAGGGTTTATCACCAAATTTTATGTCTTAAAATTTGTGTGTGTGTGTGTGTGTATGCGTGTGTATGCAGTGTGTGTATGTGGTGTGTGTATGTGTGTGTATGTTTATGGTGTGTATGTGTTTGTGATGTGTGTGTGTTTATGGTGTGTGTGTGTGTGTGTGTGTGTGTGTTGGTCTGCATTCTTTGCTTTCTTGGTCCACTTAGCCTTTTTCCCCCTCTCTTTGCCTCTACTTTAGTTTTATTCATTTAAACAGGATGAGAGAATTCTCCAGAACTCTCCAGAAAGCAAAGCATAAACATATTCCTACACCCTACAGTATGAACCAGAAGGGTGTGTGAGCACTGTGTAAAGTCTTGAGAATTGTGGGTACGCTCATTAGCTGACTCGTCCCCCACATCAACCCCCGAGTTTGTACATTTTCTGAGTTACATTAAGAACTAGGGAAAGTGGGACTATTTACTTTGAGAATTATGCATTCTGACTCGGCTTAAATTTTAGGCAGCGCTCGGTACAGAGGGAGATAATTATTATTGTGGCCGTTTCTAAGAAATAATGTTTGTAACACTATATTCTACAAAAGTTTCTCTTCAAACATCTTTCCCAAGTTAGTTATAAATGCTGTTGCATCCACCTTGAACTACCCACCTGGAACAATGTCTCCTAAACTCTGATTACAGAGCCAGAAAATTATCTAAGATGATTAGCTGCAGCATCTGGGTTCCATATACTGAAGACGAAAGAAGTATTTTTCTCCAAAACCCTTGAATGAATTACAATGGTATTTCAGGTCTGTTGGGGTTTTATTTCCCCATAAATGATCAAAGAACTTTCTGGAGTTGTAGAATTTGGAAGCCTTCTGATGTCTCATTTCTTATGGTGTCGGTAGATTTGCCAACCTTAGTTATTTTAACTTGCATTTTAGTTGGGCTTAGTTTCTTATGTTTTATACCCTTTTGGTTTGGGCTTTTCTTTGTCTGAGTTTGAACTCAGAACCTTGTAGCGTCAAAGGTGAGTGTGGTGCACTTACGGCAGGCTCTTCCCTCCCTTTAGTTTATTTTTCAGGTAAAATCTCATTTTTTTTTGAGGGGGGCCCTGGAGCTGGTCTCAGACCATGATCCTCCTTCTTCTGAGATCCCCAACAGCATGTGCCCTATAACTTTATTTATTATTTAGCTTTTTGGTACCAGTCCTGGGGCTCGAACCCAGGGCCTTTAGCTTTTTCACTCAAAGCTAGCACTCTACCATTTAAACCACAGCTCCATTTCTGCTTGTTGAAGATAAGAGTCTCATGGACTTTGCTGCCCTGGCTGGTGTTGAATTGGGATCCTTAGATCTCTCTTCTTGAGTAGCTAGGATGACAGGTGCGGGCTACTAGGGCCCCGGTAATACCTTTACTTGGAAACAGTATTGCTTTGGGGGAGTCAGTGCAGGGTGTTTTGGCTTAATTATTCACAAGAAAAGATGGGGCGCTAGCTGCTGCTGGTTCTTGGGCCTAGAAGTCTTTCCTTCTCTGTCTCCATCTTTCAATCCCATTCTTCAGGCATAGTGTTCTGAGACCTTAATCATCTCATTTATTGAAGGGAACAAAGGAGACTTCCTGCAACCTTCGTTACTTCAACACCTTTGGAGTGGTTTGTAACCATGGCTTGGGGCAGATGGGCAGTAGTGTTTGTTGCATGGTTTCACTGCTGGAGTGTGAACCCGTGCATGATAGAAAGCGAGGGCTTTCTATACTGTGTCCCTCGCTCACAGAAGCCAGGAGAGGGATGAGAGAGGCCTGGGAGCTTACTTGGTGGCTAGGATCATCTTTTTCCGTGCTGTCTGCTCCTTCTGTTCCATGTGTTGCCGGGCGAGATGCTCTCCTACTGCTTTGGCTGGAAACTCGGTTTCACACGTGTAGCCAAAATCCCGCGCAAGGTGCAACGCTTCCCCTGGTGGCAGAGAACACAAGTCAGTTTCTTCACCAACACCCAGCCTTGTAACACCAATAACTCGTCTGGTCCCTTAGGCTTAGGCCTGCTTCCGGTTCAATACAGATTCTTTTTTTTCTTCTATTTATGCTAAACATAGATGTCCAGAGAAGAAGGATGAGGAAGAGCTGAGGAACGGAGAAGGAACTTTCTAAACCATGTTATGTGGTCAATCAAGAGGCAAAGATAGAAACACAGCCCAGGAGCTCTGTCTCCGTGCACAGTCTGACCCATTAACCACACTGACATCTAAGACACGGTAGAATTAATTCCCAAGGATAAACTTCCACAAATGTATTTTGTTTCCCAACTCCTGTGCCTGCTTATCAGTCTCCCTGAACTTCCTCCTAATGCCCAGGACACCTACCAAAACAAATGTCCAGCAGAGAGTCCAAATAACTTTTCAAGATAGTACATTGGAACAAAAATAAATAAATAATACCATGTTCATAACAACACATTGCAAAAGATAGTATAGTACATGATTAGAGAACTAGCTACAATATATGATAGCATAAAGTACAGTGTTACAGGGTTACAGGGTTACAAAATTGAGCATACTTCAGTAAATTTTTTTTTGGTCAGTCGTGGGGCTTGAACTCTGGGCCTGGGCACTGTCCCTCAGCTCTTCAGCTCAAGGCTAGCACTCTACCACTTGAGCCACAGAGCCATTTTCAGCTTTTTCTGCTTATGTGGTGCTGAGGAATCAAACTCAGTGCCTCAAGCATGCAAGGCAAGCTCTCTACCACTGAGCCACCTTCCCAGCTCCTTTTGGTAAAATTTTAAGAAGTGCGGTGGAAATATCTTACCTGGAAAAATAAGATTTAATAATGAATGTTTGCCTAGAATATCATAGTTAGTTTTTACTATAATTTTTTACTATAGTTTGTACTATAGTTTTTACTATAAAAGCTTAGTCAAAGCAAACCTAACCTGATAATGTAGACTTATTTAAAAATCCAGCTATCATTATACTGGAGGTATTGTTCTGTGATGCAGGGATTGCTTAGTACATGCCAGGCTTTAGGTTTGATCCCTAACAACTTAAACATTCACATATACATGTGAACACACACACACACACACACATACACACACACACGTATGAAACTTCTACTTTACCGCCTTTGTTCAAGGTACAACAGTCAGCAGATGAAAAGGGAAAGAGAGAGAGAAAAAGGGATAGGAAAGATTGTTGTCATAGCAATAGTAGTTTCAATGACACCAACAAGACGCCATATAGGATAGTAGCATTGTATAGTTTTCTCTGCATTTCCATAAACATCATCTTTGATTGTGGATGGTTGCTATAATGGTGACCTTATGATATGTAAAAAGAAAGAGGTAAAAAAATGGTATGAGGAGGAATGAGTTAAGGCAGTGATCATGGGAGATGATCGAACAGAGACATAACGAATTAAACTTTGTCGTGAAGAGATCAAAAGATCTCAGGCTTGATGACAAAAATCCCAGGAATCTTGTTCAGTGCTTGGCCAAGAAGTGGTGGGGGTAACGGATTTTGGGATAGGCAGAGTCGGAGAGTCCATAAAGGAAGGAGGATAAATAAGAGGAGAAAGTGCTGAAAGATGAAAGCTAATATACAAAATAGGCTAGGTGAAACAAAACTACTTTTAGCATCGACACTTACTTTTTTCCTAGAAAAATAAAAGACATCATAGTCTTTCCGATTGGGAAACTCCTATTTACTAAGAAAATAAATGATTATACAACACAGGAAAGCATTTTAAGTTAAAACAGAGCAGAGAGACTAGAACCCAGGGAGAAATTACTACTATCTTCTTACAAGTAAGTAGTTCAACAAGAAATAGTAAATTCACTTTCTAAGGTTTCTTTTTCCAGACATATAAATATAAAAATTCCAAGTACGCAGCAAAGCTGCAAGAATTCTGCAGTACACTCATCTTTCATAGTACTCTAAGCCTGATTCTTCATTTATCTGACCATCTGTCTACACTCTACCCATCAGCTTTTATCAAGTACAAGAAGGGAGAAGGCTGAGAGGGCATTGGGGCTCAAACACAGAGACTCGCATACACTAAGCCAGCCCTCTGCCACTGGGCTACACCCCATCCCTGCTTGTGGGAAGTAGGCCTGATAGCTAAACAAGAATTGATGGTGTCTGGCCTTTTGTTTATTTGACCAAAGAGAACTTTCACACATGTGATGACCTGCTAGGCGAATAGGCAGACATCAGCTAACATTCTGACTTGCGTTTTCAGTGTATACAGATATGAACCAAATGATTCTTGCCTATATGCAAATATGTTTAAGTTACTTATTGCCACATGATGCTGAAATTGCCTCTTGTTTGTGTATGACCCATTCAGGCTGGAACCATTTTTCTCATTCCTACATGGTGATAGGTCCTGTTAGATGATGTCAATGAGTCTAATGTAATTACTCCTAAATTTTTAGTACAGACAAGGTTTTGAGTGGGTTTTTTCTCTTCTAAAGAACCTTTAAGATAAACAATAGCAAATCTGTAATTGAAATTTTCATACTAGTGAGGTAGAAAACCTCATTACTTCTTTTTTTCAGTTTGCTTTATCTCATTTTATTTTTCATTATTTTATTCTAAATTTGTGTGTGTGTGTGTGTGCTGGCACTAGGATTTGAACTCAGGATATCTTCTCTTGATTGGCTTTTTCACTCAAGGCTAGTACATTACCACTTGAGCCACAGCTGGACTTCCAGCATTTTGCTGGGTAACTGGATATGACTTTTCTGTCAGGTCTGGCTTTGAAATGAGATTAGTGTGAGTACTGCTGGGTTAGTGGAGAATCACTGTTTGGCTAAGGCTGAAACCAATAAGCAACATTTTAAAGGTGATTTTCCCCAGTACTTCATTAATGTAAGAAAAGAGAAACATACATCTATTTGGTGGACAAATATGACAATGCATTGCTATGTAGAATCATCTTTTCTTTTTTTTTTTTTTGCTAGAAATATGAACAAGGGAAACTATTGAGAAATTTAAAAACACCAAAGTGTGACTCACCAAATAGTGTTCCCACGCCCTTCCAGAGGATAAACTCCTGGCTGTTCCCAGGCTGTGTTGTTTTGTAGGTAACTCAGTAACACTGTGTGTAATTGCAGCACATCAGGTTGTATATCTGGGATAGCTGCACAATGCACTGCTAGCACAGATAATTAAATAGCATTTGGACAGCAGCATGCCTCTTGAAGTTCCTGCTAAAACCCGATTCTCCATAATCTGCTCCGCTCACCGTGTGGCGGTTACAGAAACAGTTTGAGTGGAACAGCTGCTATTTACATCTACACTGACAGCCAGATCCTTCCTTCCCTTCTTTCTGTTTACTGCTTCCACCCCCCTCCCGCATGCCATGAAACATTGTTACAGGATGCAGAGCGATGCTACATCAAAAGCAAAAAAAGTGGCGAGTGAAGACACTGCTATCCAGTTAAAGCGTGTATCTCCTGCCACAGAAGCCTGGTGGGTGAAGATCCAAAGACGAACCAGAAAATGGATGCATGAATTAAGATACATGTGCTGTTAAAAAGACAAGAAAAATATAAAGTCAGATTCCTCAATACTACATTAAAGAAGTGGCAAGTGCAGATCCAGGGTAAGGGTCTATCTCCTGCCACAAGAGCTTTGTGCATGAAGATCTAAGAATGAACCAGGAAATGAATCAATAAATTAAAATACATACGCTATTAACACGCACATGCAACACAAAGGCTCAAAGCCTAGGCGCCTCTGATCATATGAAATATTTATCGAGATGAACTCCAGGAAGTGAAACAAGAGTGTTTTTTCCCTCCATTGCCATTTTTCTTTTCTTTTTGTCTTGTTTGTTTACCTGTCTTTGGGAGGGTAAAGGGGGCACAGAAATGGAGACGCAAAAGATGGACAAATGCAGCAGTGGTATTCACTAGACACTGTGTTGAAATGAACTGTGCAACGTGTGGATGGAGGGAAAACCTGGGAGAGATCTTGGGAAGGGGTGACACTGTCCAAGAAGAAATGTACTCTTTGCCTGACTTACATAACCCCTCTGTATAACAACCCAGAATAAAGAAAAACGTACACACACACACACACACACACACACACACACACACACAGACAAAACAAACCCATCATGTTAAATTCTCCATGTCAGATAACTAAGAGTTAACAGGTTTAGAGGGGGAAAAAATCACAATTTTAGGATCATACAAGCATATGAATAAGCCTCTAAGAGGTTTGATTGATGTGCGACAGTAAGGACCTATGAACTATGGCCTGTGAGCATCTATGACCTGTGAACTATGGTGCACAGCGAAGTCCAGACACAGGAGTCTGGGGTGGAGCAGAGCCTGCCAGGAGGGACCAGGAATGCCTGGCATAGCAGCGGGGTCCATGCGTACCCCGGCAGATGGGCTTAATATCCAAAGTGCAAGGCTCTCTGTTCCACGTGTCAAGTCATTGTTCCCCACCCCTTCCACAAAGTAGAGCCAGTGGAAGATATTCGCTTTTCCAACCATGACAGTAACAGCAGATGCTGATGTGCTCAACGACTCCATGGATGTGGGCAGACGTAAGTTATAGAACATGGGGAGAACATTAAAACAATGCTCTCTGGATTTCTAGGAATTATTTTCCATACTGGAAAGCAAAAAGTAACAAGAAAAATCTAGTTAAAAAAAAAAAGTGATGAGGAAAAACGTAAGTGCCCCATCAACGCTACCCTGCATGAAAAGTGAATGGCAGAATAGTTTCTGCAGATAAGGAGGGCGGCATGTTCTGTGGAGGTTCTGGTCTTGCAAGGAACAGATAGCTCAAAGTGTGCTTTAAATTAGAAGACAAAGTACCTGATTTTTAATTTTTCCTTTTTAAAAGAAAACACATTTTTATTGTATTTTGGGGAAAATGTTCTTTACGTAACTAAAAGTAAATTTTGAACCCTAATTGAAACAAAGTAGTACTTCTGTACTGTGATTCATTCAATAGATTAGTTTAACCAATGATCACTTTAAAAATATTACCAGCAAGACTAATTTGGGCTGAACTTAGTATTCTAAGGTCAAAGGTCATTCTATTTTTACTACAACGTAAAATTACAGACCACTTCACAAATTTGTCCGTCATCTTTGTGTAGGAACCATGCAAATCTTCTCTGTGTTGTCCACTTTTAGGAGATGAGCTGCCCAAGCAAGCACTTCCATGTCATTAAATTTTAAAAAATGGTTTATATGTCTTAAGTTCCACTCATATAGCTACAGTTTCAGTCTTATCTCTGTGTGTAGTAGATTCAAACCCATAGAACTTTTTTTTTCAAGAAGAATCTATGTGCAAATTTTGACTGTAGTTTCAAACTTGGATCTTGTGTTAAGTATATTGTGTTGTAATATAAAACTGCACTAAAACTTAGAGCTGAAGAACAGAATTAATACACCTCAGTTTTAGAGCAATTGGGACAGGAAGGCAGCGTGACATGACATCTCACACTGCTGGGAGCTGGGCAGGGCGTCTCCCTCAGTTAATCATGGTTTTGTTCAAACTCAGCATTCTGTGTTCCCAGTCATAGCTTTGTTCTCATTCCACACACTGCCACTGACATAGCGTCTCATTTCATATAAGCTTACTTTAAAGGAAAATACATGATCTATTATTTATTATTCTTTATTGGTTGATTAAAATAGTCTGCTGAGGAGTTCTCCCAAGATTTATAATGCAAAAACGAGTACAAAAGAAACTCCCTAGAAAAGCACATATTAAAAACACGCACAAACATGAGTGCATTACTCTGTTGGTGTAGCCTTTGATTAACTAGACCACACTTGAAGGTAAAGCTACTAACCCCTTGCTAACCTATAACTGGAGACTTTGCTTAATTGAAGAAGTCTAGATCCCTCCCATATCAGTTAATCTCTGGCATTAGGGATGACCAGTTTTTGAAAACTCCAGAAGTAATTTTCTCAACAATGGTTGAAATTCATGGTGAAGAGTAAATGACTGTATCTAAGGATTCTGTGATGGGTCCAGAAGGAAGACATTCACTACAGGTTGGGAGAATCTGTCTAGCTAGGTCCTTGCACACCATGTCCATGTGCATTCTTTTTGAGACAGTGACATAAGGAAACATGGGAGGAGGAGGAGAAGGAGGAAGAGAAGGAGGGGGAGAAGGAGGAGGAGGGGGATTATCAGGGAAACAAAGACATTCACCATTGAAAAATCTACCATTCTATTAGAGGATGCCAAGTACACTGGAACTTGCTTTCCAACCTCTTAGAGAGACGATGCATTATCAGTACAAGGTGCTGGGACAAGTGGGTGGCCATCTGGGTAAAAGCAAAATTGGATCCATACCATACAGCCAACAACAAAACAAATTCCAGATGGATCAGAGAAGTGAGCATTAAAAAAATAATACTCACAAGGTAACTGAAAGACAGCATGGACTGGCTTTTTATAATCTTGAAAGTACAAGCCTTTTATGGTATTATAATAAAAACTGAAAGCTGCAAAGTTATCTGCGAAATAACAATGACACCAACTTTTTAAAACAGTTCTGCCTGCCTGGTAAAGGCCGCACAAACAACAAATTACCGTAAGAGCAAACAGAGGACAAATAAAAGCCCAGAGTGAGGATGAATACTCAGAGAAAACAGCCCATCATCTTCACGCAGAGTGAACCCATGTGAATGAACAGAAACTGAAATATTACCCCACAAACACAAAGCAAACACAGGCACAAATCACAGAAGAATCTCAGAATACAGTCATCCTTTATAAGAAGAACGTTGTTTTACATCTCATCATCTTAGCAAAAATAGAAAAGAAATATAGTGTTACCTACTCAGACTAGAGGACAATGCTATCTTGTCATGGCTTCTTATGCCTATTGCTGAGAAGATTATAAAATTGTGACAACTATTGAGAATAATCTGCCAATAATGTATGAAAATTGCAGATGCGAACATCCTATTCCTAACATACAGATATATGCTCTTGGCTCATAAATCGGGAAGAATGAAGCTAATCTGGGTTAAAAATCTGAAATCTGATGCTATTTAGAAGGTTATATTATTCTTGTATGAAGAGGAGAAAGTACTAAAGCAAGGGCTAATAGATCTTATAAGTGGCACAACTGGTGATAGACATATGCATTTATATATAACTATTTTGAATATATACAAATTATTCAACATAAGTATCAGTATTAGCTGTTGTACCACTTCACATACAAAACTGAGTTATATAATACATACAAAAATAAAGACTTTTAATTAGCAGGCATTCGCAGGAAATAGCATAGTCCTACACGGAAGGATAAAGTAGGAAAAAAATGCCTAAAATCAAGCAATTTGAAGATCTCTACTTAGGGGAATTTATACTTTTGGAGCTGTAAAAGAGTCAGAATTTAAAAAAAAAAAAACATTTAAACTGAAAAGGATTGGAAATCATACACGGTATTTGGAAATAATACAGGAGAGAGGGGGGAATTGAGAAAGAATGGGAAGGAGTGGAGAGAGGAGAGGAAAAGAGGAGAGGAGATAAAAAGAGTTGGAGAGGAGAGGGGAGGGGAGGGGCAGCAGAGGGGAAGGGAAGGAGAGGGGTGAGGAGGGCGGGAAGGAGATTGATTGTCATGTCTCGGACATCTCAGTGCTCCATCCCTTCTGCGCACCGTGATGAGAGCAGCCATGAATGCCCGTGGCTCTTTCCCGTGCCCTGGACAGCACCTTCACAGACTTGGGGGCACAGGGCATTCTTGAGGTTTTAAATTTTCACACCACTTAGAAATTCCATGAGAAGTCACAGTTCATCTATCCTGAGTATCTGGGCGCTGGTGGCTCACGCCTGGTGGCTGAGATCTAAGGGTCGCTGTTCCAGGCAGGAAAGTCCATGAGACTCTTATTTCCAGTTAACCACCAGAAAACCAGAAGTGGCACCATGGCTCGAGTGGTAGAGTGCTAGCCTTGAGCTGCAGAGCTGAGGGACAGCGCCCAGTTTCAAGAGTTCAAGCCCCATGAGAGCCCCCACCTCCCAATCTATCCTGGGTAGTGGGAAGGAAGCCAAGGAACAAGCATGTGAGTCACACCTCCAGACTGAACTTCACCGGGCATGGAACTGGAGCCTGGGGGACATCTTAGTAGCCCCTCTCAGCTGGTTCGTCTGTACAGCCAGGCTTCACAATCCTGCCATGCACAAGACTCATGAATGCCCACTAGTATATCTTAAGCAAGTGTTAGTTTTAATTTTTTAAAAAAAAACATGATTTTATTTCAAAGAAGTAGGAATTCAGAATCAACCCATTAGTTGAGGGTTTTTTTTTTCCAGTACTTATTTTAGCCTTCCTCCAGCCCACAGGAGTGAATGAGAAGTCAACTCTTCCTACTAAGCTAGCACTCCTCACCAGCAAACACAGTACCCAATCTAGGACACACTCGTTCTCCACCCTGCTTGCGACGAGTGTTTCATACGTTAGAGTTTTGTCAGGTTTTGGAGTTGTTGTTTTTGTTTTTTTTTTTGGGTCCGGTCGTGGGGCCTGAACTCTGAGCGTGGGTGCTGTCCCTCAGCTCTTCAGCTCAAGGCTAGCACTCTACCACCTGAGCCACAGCGCCACTTCCGGCTTTTTTCTTTTTGCTTATGTGGTGCTGAGGAATCGAACCCAGGGCCTCATGCATGCAGGGCAAGCGCTCTGCCACTGAGCCACCTTCCCAGCCCCAGGTTTTGGAGTTGTTGCAGAGACCTTTAATCCCTTATGTGAAAATTCACAGTGGTGCTGCTGTTCTGATTCCATCTCCATCCAGACAACACTGCCCTCTGACATTCCGTGTTTCTGTCTCAGCCTCGTGAATGCTGGGCACCTGCTCAGTCTAAGAACATGGTCATTCTTCATGTGCATCAGGCAATGCTATGTAGGGGTAATATGGAAAAATGCCAAGATGACTGTGTTGCTTGTTTGTTGTTTTACCAACTCATTCCTACATGACACAGACAATTAGCTGTTGCAAGGTGTGTCATTGGTATGTCTAGATGGAGCTCAGCATAAAAGGCCCTTGTGATTTATATATTAAACATGAATAGCATTTTGGATGATAGAAGAATATTGCTTTGATATTGGAAAGTTCTACCCTATAGATTTTTCTTTTAAAATGTCTAAAAATGCTTCTCTTTAGAAGAAGATGGCTTGGGAATGTGTAAAATATAGTCATTATAGAACACACAAAGGAGAAAATTTAATTCAGAAAAAAATAACTTCTAGGAATTTACTTCTACCTCTTTCCTCTCTTCTCCTAGGGATCCTTAGCCTCTCTCTGACTTAGATGATTCTTTCATAAAGCGTATCCTCTCATAGTGAACTTCACTATGCATTTATTTATTTATTTCTGGTTGTGGGGCCTGAATTCTGGGCCTGGGCGCTGTCCCTCAGCTCTTCAGCTCAAGGCAAGTGTTCTACCACTTGAGCCACAGCGCCACTTCTGGCTTTTTCTGCTTATGTGGTGCTGAGGAATCGAATCCAGGGCCTCATGCATGCAAGGCAAGCGCTCTACCACTGAGTCACCTTCCCAGCCCCTCACTATGCTTTTAGAAAGTCTACCAGGATTAACAAAATGCTATTCCAGGCTCAGTATCTCACCTAGACTCCTATGAACTCCTCATAAAAATTATTTATCCTGTGTGTCATGTTGTACTGAATTATAATGAGTTAAGTCAGGCCTGTGTAAACGCTAAAATCACAATTAAGAATGGCAATAGTTCAGTCCGATTGTGTTGCTGTAAGTTAGGGGATGCTTTCCTCGTCTTCTCTGTGATCACCAAGAGCTCTTAAAATGAAGCCCTACTCAGTCATCTGCACTCACGTCAACCATGGGATTCACCATCACTGTTCATTATCTCGCTTAAAGGTCTCAGCAGAAGGAGAGAACCGTCAGCGCCCCCCCACCTCCCCACGGGCTCTGCAGTACCGCAAGCCTACCTTCCACCAGGGAAGTGAGCAGGGTGACGTTGGCAGCTTTCCGTCTTCCAGCCGGCAGGTTCAAGCCCAGGCGATCCAGCTTCTCCCTCAGGCAGCGGCCTCCGTTCTTAGATTTTGCTCTGTCCAGAAACAAATTCAAAAGAAAGGACGATGTGAAGTTCCCGTGGTAAGGTAAGTCACGAGAACCCTTGGCCACGCGGGCAGGCCAGGCCGGACGAGGGAGCGGGGTGTGGGGGGAGACACAGAGTGGCAGGCCACAGCTTCCTCTCACCTTCGCAAAATGCCTCCCAGGAGCGAAGCGTTGAGGCACTCTGGGGGCGAGAGGCGTCTCTTCACCTCCGCGATGGTCACCTTGTATTTGGACGTCGAACTGAGCAGGGACAAACGGCCAGGAACCGAGCAAAACAAGTCCGTGGGATTGACCACACAAGTGCCACCTTGGAAGGAACGAAGAAGCACACATTAGTGGGAGTGAGAGGCAGGGAGGATCACAAGGCCACAGGAGACGGGGACTACAAGGTAACTGTTGCACAACACATTGTCCTCACAGTCTCTGATCGCTGCTCTGAAGACGCCTTCTGAACACCCATCAAGAGTCTGTCTACCCCGGATCACACAGAAGAAAATGGCTGTGAGTGCACAGCTGAAATGTGAGGGGAAAGAAATCACCATCTTATGGAACATAGGCTAGCTCGCTAGAGTTAGATTTGGCACTATGACATCAAGAAATACTTCAGTTGATTAAAACACCAACTCCAAAAGATAACCCTCTCCCCAAAGTAAGTAATATTTATTCGCAGATCCTTCAAGGAAAGACAGCTTCACGTTTCTTCAAGAAAACATAGATCAGCTGGGTGCTGATTGGTGGCTCATGTCTGTCATCCTAGCTACTCAAGAGGCTGAGATCTGAAGATCATGGTTCAAAGCCAGCCCGGGTGGAAAAGTCCATAGGACTCATCTCCAATGACCAGAAAAAGGCCAAAAAGTGGAGCTGTAATCTAAGTGGTAGAACACCAGCCTTGAGTAAAAAATCCAGATCAAAGTGCAAAGTCCTGAATGAGTTCAAGCCCCAGTACCAGCACAAAGAAAAAAAAAGGAAAGAAAGAAAAAAAGGAATAAGGAAGGAAGGAAGGAAGGAAGGAAGGAAAAAGGAAACAGATCACTCCTCAGTCTGTCTGAAGTAGATTTGAGAGTTCATTGATGATCACCAAATACACATGTCCTGCTGCTCACTTGCAAAAACACTGAACCAATAAAAAATATATGATCTTGGCTATATGATTTGTGGGTATAAGATGCCTTCTTCACACCTGGAGTCATTTGAGGGCAGAATTTTAAAAGCTTACTGGCAAATTCAAGCTCAAAGCTGCCTTTTCTGAGACAGCAGCTTCTTTCTTGAGTTATGGGCAGGCTAAAGGGGGAAAAAGTGGGTGGAGAGAAAAGAAAATGGGCAAGCATACGTGGTTCGCATGCCTTTGCCAGAAACATACCATTGGCCATTGGCATTCTGAGCAAGGAGGCGGTGGGAAGCAGGGCATCCCCCATCCAATCTCAGACTTTAGGAGTCAGAATCTACATGGTTACAAGATCGGAAGGTGGGATACACACCATTCAAGTTCAAGAAACACTGGACTAGACTCAGCCCTTGCCGCCACGCCTAACTAAGAGTCAACCTTTTTGCATTTTCTTTTAACTAAGCAGCACAGAGGAACTGTTACATCATTGGCTCTAGCAGTCAGATTCAACTACGTTCTAGGCACCTCAAAAGGAAAAAGACCCTGGCTTGGGGGGCGGGGAGAGAACAAGCTAATCTCACCCTACTTTTCTAATGCTGCCATCATTGTGCTGTTGGAGGTCCCCTTAGCTGTTCTGCAGTCCCTCGGGTTTCCCCCCAGGGCCAAGAACGGTGGCTGTCTCCCTTAGAGTGCTAGGTTGTCAGAAACCCTGCCCACCTTGCCAAAACTAGACAGAGGCTATTCAGCCGGAATGTCAAGACAGACTCCCAGGGCTGGAAGTCAATTCTTGTACACTTAGATAAAATCCCTGTGCCCGATTCCTAGAAATCTGCCCTAAGTTTGAAGTTGAAAAAGTTATATCTCAGTTTTTTGTGTTTGTTTTTGTGTTGGTCAGTCATGGGTCTTGAACTCAGGGCCTAAGCACTGTCCTTGAGCTCTTTTTGCTCAAGGCTAGGGCTCTACCACTTTGAACGGCAGCACCACTTCCAGTTTTCTAGCAGTCTCACAGACTTCTGCCCAGGCTGGCTTTGAACCGCAATGTTCAGATCTCGGTGTCGTGAGTAGCTAGGATTACAGGTGTGAGCCACTGGCACCCAGCTTATATCTCAGTTTTTTAAACTAAAGCTCAACACCACTACAAACAACATTTGCTCCAAGCATAAACTCACTGGCACGCCTCCTCTTCGCATTCCTAGAGAAGTTTAAACCACAATGATGGTGAAGATAATGATGGCCATACAATTACTATTCCTTTTTTTTTTTGAGATTCCCAGACCAGTGGCTACCATTCACCTTCACTAATATTTTCATTTTTCTCTGATGGGTATAAAGTGCATGAAAAAGAAAAAGAAAAACTACAGCCACTTTTCAAAATTTCAGACAAACTGGAAAGCAAGTTAGGGATCAGGGGATCTAAGCTTTAATGTAATACTCCAAGAATCTTGACCAAGATTGCATTAGGATTTAGGTCAGACTGAAGAAAAAAATATCAAACAACAAGAACGGAAATCACTGGCCAAATCCAACATGTACACAGCCCTCTAACAGGAGCCCCTTCCCATACTTACTATGAATCCTAAACAATTTTATGTCTGCATACTTCCATCTCTCTTGTACCCTAGCCAGCCCATAACAGAGAAAAAGGAATCTCACTGAACTGGGACGAGTTGATTATGTTTGAGCTTAGGTATGGATGGTTTTTCCTGCCTGCTCTCGACACAAAGGGCACAGTTTTAGGTCTGTCCTAATCGCCAGTGGGTTAAAACATTTAATTAAGGGGTAGGGACCAGGGGGCAGGAACTGGAAGAGAGAGAGGGGAAGAGTGACATTGTCTAGAAAGAAACGTACTCATTACCTGACTTAGAAAACTGTAAACCCGGGCTGGGAAGGTGACTCAGTCGTAGAGCGCTTGCTTTGCATGCATGAGGCCCTGGGTTCGATTCCTCAGCACCACATGAGCAAAAAGAAAAAAGCCGGAAGTGGTGCTGTGGCTCTAGGGGTAGAGCACTAGCCTTGAGCTGAAGAGCTGAGGGACAGTGCCCAGACCCAGAGTTCAGGCCCCACAACCGGACCCCCCCCCCAAGAAAAAAAACTGTAAACCCTCTGCACATCCCCTTTATCACAACCATACAAAATAAAAATAAAACTAATTAATTAAGAAATGTGGATAGTCATCTTTAAAAAAAAAAGAAGTTAAATCAAATTCTCCTCCATTTGCTTCTGTTGAAGTAAAGTCCATGCCGGAAGCTTCATTCCTGAGAGGGGCAGAATCTACTACCTTACCATCTGTTAACTCCCCGGACTGAGTCTCTCCTCTTATACCCAGGTTGGGACTTCAGCGCGCGCGCACGGGCATGTGGTAGGTAAGTTACACAGGCTGCATATTAAGAGTATGTGTTATGCACACACAAATTGCCTGAAGGATTTATTTTGTATTCAGTATTAGCCATCCACTCTGGAGTCTTTTATTTTTTTATGTCGCAGCATCTTTAAAGGGAATTTCTTTTGCTTTGATACTTGGCATTGCTGCAGCCTTGGGGAGCTTTTTCGTTCTGGCTAAAGATTTGGCAACTTGTAGAGTTTACAGCAACTTGGGGAATCTGATATCTTTCTTCTTGGGGGTTTCAAATTTTAGGAAAGGTAGGGGAAAAAATAATAGAGTTTTGTATTTTGTCATGGAGATAGTAAGGGGCAGGAGTTGTCTAAAGAGAACTGGTTGATAGATGGATATAATGAGCTGTCTAGGATGGATGGCCATGTATGCATGGACCTCACCCAGCAATGCAAAGCAGGAATGCCCAATCTTCAGGGTGCCTGTGGGGTGGTGCGCATTTATGCGCCTTGGCCCTCACTACAGGTGTGTGATGCACAGCGGTGTCGGCTGCTCAGGGACATCTTTGGTGCTAGAATCATGGTGTTCACACAGAATCTTGTCTTAAAGTCAGCTCTTTTGTTTTTCCATTCATAGTGCACAGAAGCAATTTTCCAAAGTCAGTTTTCCCCCATCCCTGTTTTCTAGTAATGAGCCTTGACCTCAGGGCTTGGATGCTGTCCCTTAACACATTTTTGCTCAAGGTTGGTGCTCTGCCACTTTAGCCACAGCTTCACTTGGAGCTTTTTTTATTTGGTCAGGTGGGGCCTGAACTCTGGGCCTGGGCCCTGTCCCTCAGCTCTTCAGCTCAAGGCTAGCACTCTACCACTTGAGCCACAGCATCACTTTCAGCTTTTTCTGCTTATGTGGTGCTCAGGAATCGAACCTAGGGTCTCCTGCATGTAAGGCAAGCACTCTACCACTGAGCCACCTTCCCAGCCCCACTAGGAGCTTTTTGGAAGTCAATTGGAACTAAGAGTCTCATGGACTTTCCTGCCTGGGCTGACTTTGAACTCTGATTCTCGTCACTCAGCCTCCTCTGTAGCTATGGCCTGAGCCACTGGCACCCAGCTCTGTCAAGATATATATTTTTTAACATCTGAAAATGTGAGACACCACTTTTCCATTTCCTGTCACATGCAAACTCTATCCAGTAGCCACAGCAACACTGGAAATATTGACTCTAAGCCAATTGTCTAAGATATGGTTTTTAGACTAAAAAAAAAAAAAAAAAATGAAGGAGCTTGCCAAAGCCAAGTAAGAAGCTAGCTAAACACGCAGGGCTGAAGAAACCAGGCGCAGAATACACAATGAACACACACACACACACACACACACACACACATACACACACACACACACACACACAGATCCTCTAGCCCTTGGACCTTGTTTGCACAACATGAAGTAGATGGAGGCTGCATCCCTCTTACAGCAAGTCCAGGCCTCTGCCCCTGTGTCTGTGGGCAGTGGGGGTGGGGAGAGGTGGAGGGAAGTACTGGGCTATAAGGAAGAGCTTGGTAGAGCAGCACACCACACTTCCTTGGGTTGGGTTGTAGTTCTTTAGGCCTCTGTTGGTCTCCCCCGATGGAGGGGCGCTGTGCAGGGAAACTGGATGCTTCCACATGCCCAACACGAGTCTCCGCGCACGGCCACGTTTGGAGCGGCTACCAGGTCACAGGGCGCGCACGCTGTCACGCGGTGGAGCTGGTCCGTGGTCCCTGACTTTGTGCTACAACGGTGCAGGCACCTGGGAGCCAGACTCCCTCCCCTCATTCCAGAGGACAGCAAGCCTTGGGCCTCAAGGACAGCCAATGGCTTCCCTGGGGCT